AATGTAGGAAGACTTGCTACAGAAATCTTGAGAAGTAACCTTCCAGTTTTTAAAAATGTACGGAAGAAATATTCACTGCTACTAAAATCCAGCCAGTAACTGCATGACGATATGGAAAACCAATTTCCTAGAATCGTTTTTAGAAATTTGATTGCACTTAGAAAGCAATGCTTTCCCAACTCAAGCCTGAGTTGTAAGAATTTGGATTTATTCATAACAAACAAAAACAAAAAACCAGTATTTATTACTTTGGTTAAACAAATTCCAGTGACAGAAAACTCAAGGAAAGGCATGATAGAGGCATCTCTACAAGAACACTGGTTCTTACTCTTTATGATTCTGGATTACCAGCTTCATTGTCATTTCCAAAATTCTCTGTGGAAGGAAAGCTTCTTTTGTAACTTAAAGGATCAGAAAACTTGCTAGAAAAAAGATGAAATGAATTCAGAGTCAGTCCTTCTGCATAATCCAAACATAATACACTAGATCAGGAATTAAAGCAGTTCCTGATATCAATGAAAGGAATGCTTATACAAATAAAATAATATAGTAGGAGACTAAAAACAAATTATTTTTAACAGTTATCACTTCATTCCTAAATGTAAGCTAATGAGAATAAAAAGGATGCAATTGTCACAGATAGTTAACTTAGTATTGGATGATGTTAAGGTCTAAGTTTTTTTAATAAGGGGAAAACAATGAATCCTACACAGAGAAATGTTTTAATATTTTTTTGCTTTCCAATAAATGCATATTCTGTTACTATAGTCCATCTCAATAAGGCATAGTTCTAGTCTTCCTGTGGAGTTGGTTTCTTGATCTGATCTAACTTGAAGGGCTGACATCAAGTCTGATTATGCATTCCCCACCCCCACCTGTTATACCCCAGTGAGTCAGGAAGGAGCCAGCCTGAGTTTCTCCTTAATACTATCTCCCTTCCCAGGACTTAAGGATTCTTCTGCCCCCTTTTTACTTAACAGTTCATGAATATTTGCTTCAAGGCCATGTCTTTGGGTCTCTACAAGATGGCACCAGTGTTGATATAACGAATGCAAGGTCAGACATATCCAGATAGAGTCACAATTGTCAGATCACCTACGCTGGCAAAAAGCTGACCTTCCAGACCATCCTTCATACTAAGTCTAGGAGAATTCCTTGGCTGTGCTGAAGAGTTCAACTTCACAAAGAGTTGTATTTCTTCTAACTACAGTAGATCTTATGGCATTATTGAAGCCAACATCTACTTTGTATTGTAAGGGATCTTGAAGTACATATATTGGGTGATACACTGTAGTTATCTGATATAACAAAATCTTTTAGGTTGATCCTAAATCTTTCAGGTTGATCCTTTCTTCAGACCACACTTGCACATTTTTGGTGACAACAACTATTCAATTCTTCTTTGATTTACTAAACAGTTCCTGTGTTTAAAAATCCTGCAGCAAGATGAAGTGATTTCTATGTCACTCTGAGTAAATGAAAATGTCATCAGTTGCTGGCAGTCAGAGGCTGACAATCCCTGAACATATTATTGTAAGATGGAACAAAACACCAGGATTTCAAAAACTGCTCTGCAATTCATGAATATTGGCTCCAGAATTATTGTATGCACCAGTTAAGGCTGGTTTCTACTGGAAGCTGAGGTATGGGAATGAAATTACTGCAGACAGAACCAGTTGTGTTATCAAATTACTAAAAGTGCTAAAGCAAAAGGCACAGGGAAAGGTGCATTTGGCCACTAAAAGTGCTAAACAAAAAGAAAGATGCATTTGGCCAATATGTTATGAAACACCTTTTCAAATGGACATAAAATCACACGTCAATGATTCAGTGAGAATATTTTTGCCTCCAAATACTACCTAAAACAAGAAAAGATCTTTTCATATGGTCAATTTTATTAATCAGTATAGATTTTGCTTCAGACTCAACCACATAGCTATGTTCTTTCAGTCAGCAATTTATAACAGATATATTTATTGTCCAAATTGAGAAAGGTCACTTTGGGGATTAATTTATATGAAGATTAGTTGGTGACTGATTTTTCCAGCCTGTTATTTTCCTAATATATTTAATGCCATGTGAATTTATTCTATTTCCTAGTACTTTTTTTTATATTGCTGAATAACTTATCAGCTCCGACACCTGTTTTCCAGAGAATTAGCCTTTATTATCAACTTTGACTTACCTCTATACTGCCAACTGAGATTACATGAAGCTGTAATTATACTCTTGTCACTCAAAAAAAAAAAAATACTGGTACTATTGTTGCTTAATTGTAGGACTCAGATCTAAAGTGAAAAAGCCATCAACATATGCACAAAATAAGAGAACACTGCCTCAACCATTGTTGGAAAAACAAGTGAAAATTTCCAAAGGTGTGCCTGTTTGAATTTCTTGCAGCTAAACAACAAACTGTCTCATGTCTGTTAATAGGCTGACAAATGGATTTAGTGGATTGGAGTTCATCCCATTTAGCACATGATGTTATTACAGTACAGAAGATATTGCTGACCAGGGGATGTCCATGGAAGGGGTCAAAAAAATCAAGATGGCAGACACAAAGTGTCACCACTCTTTATGTGTGCCACATTCCACAGTCACAGCCCCCACCTTGACCTTTTTATACTATGCCCCCCACCAATCCTATCCCTGACTGAGAAACAGGCTTCAGTCCTTTGCACATTGAAACTGGAGTCCTGGAATCCAGAGGGGCTTATTTCTGAATAGACATGAATGTTAAATTATGCATGTTAAATTATAACATATACATCTTGAGAACCTGCAAGATCACTTTATGACTCTGTATAGTACTACATCTATATACCACATAGTATAATTATATAATATTAAGTTTATTTAAACCCTAATTTTATTTTCCTATCTATCTTTCCTTAGATAGTCAAAATAGTTTCTTCTGCACCCGAAAGAGAAGTATCAGTAGTTTTGGGGAAGCTTTAAAATAAAAAATGCTAGCATGGATGTGTTTTTTCTCTCCTGGACATGCACTGTTATTTTCTTGGTTACATTGTTCTTTGCTGCTTTTAAAGTTGTATACTGCCCACATTTTTCATGGAATCAGGTAATCAAAGATTTTTATAAACAAACAAATAAATAATGGCCATTGAACAGACACCTAGAATATCCTAGAATATCCAGAAAGAAGTTTTTTTGGCCACTTGGAATTCTGAACAAAAGCACTTCACGCTGTAAATTTTTGTCAGAAGACGTGCTTATGTAATTAGTATATGAAAACTGATCTGATATGAACTCATTGAATCTGCAAAGCTCTTTACATCAAAGCCACTCTCCATTTCAATTCACATCTCCATCAAAGCAGATCTCCACTTCAATTCATAGATGCTTCAGTGTAGAAATTTAACCAAACCTTTATCAGTTTGAAGTGTCAGTTCAAAGCTTTGTATATATCAAGTGCTTTGAGAACTGGCAGCCAATCACATCATGCTCTTCCTCACCAATAGATAAACAGAGATATCTCCAGCAAATCAGTTTTCATCAGCTAGCCCAGAAGGGGGGGGGCTCTTTATCTCCCCCCAAAAAGGAAAAGATAATACATTTCAAGTCTCTCATCAGTCTGCTATAGTGACAGTTCCCATGACATGATGGTTATGTATTACAATCACTTTACATAGCTATGTGAACTCCTATCCATAATTTGATAACAAGAGTTGGAAGGCAGAATGAGTCAGGTACTCATTCTATCAAGACAACACTGCAAATCTCTTTCCATCAAATATTGCATCTGCAGTGGAATGAAACCAAGACCAAGTATAAGAAGTTCTCAGTGACAACATTGGCTGATCTTGGGGGTGGGAGTGAAGAGCTCAATTAGTTTAGCAAGAAGATCTGAATCAACATCCAGCAGTGCCCAGTCTGTTGCCATTTTGCAGCTAAGGAGAACAAACATGACCAGAGGGAAAAGTAGAATCAGCCCAAATCCTTGCATATTTAATTCCATTTGTGTCTATAAAAACTCTGAAAAACATATTCCCAACTGCAAGAAGACAGAGAAAGAGAATCCTACATGCATCCAGTTGTACAGTGATAGGCTCCATGCAGGCATTCATTAATGTTCTCTAATACCTTCTCTCTGTGCATATTCATTTACCCTTCATGCTATGACAATGGCGCTATTTATTTATTTTTAAAATTTAGGTGCCACCCATCTCACAAAAAGTAACTCTGGGCGGTTCACAATAAAACAGGTTTTTGGAAACAGAGATGAGCTATTATAGGCAACATATTTATATTCTGGTTCATGTAAAAATTGGAGTAAGCATCTTTCCTGTTTCTTTCCACTTCTCATTCTCTGTGCAACTCACAGAGTCTTTCTGGAATTCAGAGCATACTTATTCTAATTTTTTAAGAGGAGTTTTTAAAAATTATTTATGGCTTTAGAGATTCATCTCAAAATATTAAGTGCTAAATAAATGAAAATAAAGGAGACATTTGCTTTAAAATCTCCTGATTTTTTAGCCAATGAGTCAAGAATTTACACCTGAAGATTTTTCCTCCACAAAAACAAAATAAAACTATTGTAGATTCACCACCTATAGTTTGGCCAATACTAGGTTCATAAATATTGTACAAATCTTGTTAAATACAAACTATCAGGGCTAATGAAAGCATTCAGAGTTAAAAGTGTTTTCTGTACAAGTATACAAATTATTGTACAGATGTTATCAATAAGTCCTCATAGTGGCTGCCTTGAGCCTTTGGGAGAATATGGCCATCTTGACACTTCTATACAGGTAGTCCTTATTTAGTGATTGCCTCATTTAATGACCATTCGCAGTTACAACAGTGATGAAAAAGTAATTTTATGACCAATCCTCGCATTCACAATCTTTGCAGGTCTGTAAACCAAAGGAAAACTGAAATAAGATCCTAAGCACAATGGCGGTTTCACTTAATGACTGCTTCACTTAATGACTGAGTTGTCAATCCCAATTGAAGACTAGCTGTAGTAGTAGTTTGCTTAACACTATTATTATTTATTATTATTTATTTCATTACATTTATTATAGCTGCCCATTCCAGCAGATTCTGGGCGGCTTACATACATCCACTGAAGTAGTTTGCATACTTCTACAAAATATTATAATATAAAATTTAGTGTATAAAACATCTCCAGTACAATAGTCATTGAACTGCGTAAAACAGAAAATTATAATTTGTATTAGAATCATAAATCATTCAAATTAAAAACAACAACTGTGCTTGGCTGCTTATGCCAGTGTTTGACAACAATGCTTTTAGGAATAGCAAAAATGCTGCCAGGGCCAATTTACATGGCAGTTAATTTCAGTGCCATGATATCAGACCCATTCAAATTCCATACCATGGCCTTCCCAACATAGGCCTCCACAATTGTTGGGAGTGGGTAAGGAGGCACAAGTGACAAACATACATCACAACACAAATTTCACCCATAGTATTTGCATGTGATGTTGCCCTGCAAGTATAAAAGGACACTATTTTAGTTGCCATGTCACAAGGTACATTTTATCACTGCTTCCACAGGATTAGGACAAACATCTATATTCTACAAATCATTCTCTTAATGTTACTCTCCTCAAGATTTCATTTTCCAGACCATTTTTGGGCTTCTCTTGGGTGATTACAGTTTTATGTAGTGCCAAATGAAGTATGTTTTTATAGTACTTCCACATCACTCTCTTTCTACTCTTCAGTCCCTTCAAAGAATGTTAAAGTTGGTCATAGGATCATCTTCATTCTTGCTGACCTGTGAAAGCTGAGGATAGACAAGGAAACCATAATTAGTGGTTCAGAATCAATGTGCCCTTCAACTGAACAATAGAAAATGCAAATGTCACTAAGCCTCCTACCTCCTGAACTTCCTATATAAGGAAAAAAAAACTGGTTTCACATATAAACCAAAACCACAATTGCTACTCCTCTCCTTACAGGCTTTTAGCATGTGTTTGGTGTGTTTGCCTGAGCAATTTCCTGAAACTCAGAGCTATGTTATGAGGAGAAAGTGGTCTTAAGGTACCATTCTTCATGTATCTACATTCCGACTGAAAATGGGTACCACATGTACCCATTGTTCTGCAGCAACATGTTTTTCCCAACATTTGAAATTGTGGTTGTGTGTTGCAGTGTAGACTTTCTATGTAAGGGGAGATGAGAGGGAGAACAAGTAATAGCTTTTATTACTTTAAGTACTCACTTATATAAGAAGGAAAAATCAAGTCAAACTTTGGGGGTGGGGGTTATTATTCTTTCAAATTGTGAAGATGATTAGAAGGATTAAGATTGGTTCTCCAGTACTGTGATGTCTCAGATCAGGCTGGGTAGTAAAGTTAGCCAAAAATTCTCACCAGTGAGAAAACAGTCCATCCTGAAGCACACTCACATGCAATTACTTAAGCTTGTAGGTGGGCTGGAAGAAATCGGCTTGGCTCCCAAGGAAGACAACATCATGTGAGTGCAGGCATATAGTGCCAGTTCTGAAGTGGTGTCAAAGCCCTGTGTGTCAGTACTCTAATTCCTTACAGGCAGTTTTACAACATGTTTCACAGTTGCTGTGAATAACTGTGATCACAGGGGCATAGGGCTGGTGCAGAAATAGTGCCAAAGTCCCATGTGGAAGTATCTTTAATCCTGTGGTATTATAACTCTAACTGGCAGGAGTTAGAGTCCTGAAGAGTTAAAGCTTGGCAGAGGGACAGAGCCACCTGCTTGAAAATGGGGCTGAGACAGCTGCATTTCCTTTGAATATTATGAGAGAGTGTGATGCTGCTGAAAGAAGAAGATCATAAAGGATAAAAAAGAAATTAAGTTCCTTCACCTAACTGGATCATAGCCAAAAAAGGATTAATTTCTCAAAGAAGAGCTACTACAGACCCAAGTACTCTATTGTAAGCTATTTTGGGAAGAGGGGGCTTGCAACAGGATATCAGTATTTTTAAAGGCAATATTTCAAGACAATATCTATGGGCAATAATGCAGACACATGAAGAATACAACAATTAACAAAGCTGGAGAAAGCTACAATCTGAACTGCTATCAATTGAAGCGAAAAATTAAGAATTTTCAATTGCAGTGCTATACAGTAGATAATAAAGCATCACTGACTTTTACATGCCTCCTTGTCTCAGCAGATAATAGTGCTTGTCTGATCTTGTCTAGGCTTGGAAGCTTAGGATTGGGCTTAGTAGCTAATATTAAGCAGAGTATTTACTGTAGATCGAAGGACTCTTAAGGAATGCTAGGGCCATAGGCTAGACTTGGGAATAAAAAAAATCCAGTGGCAAGGCACTTCCATATTGTTGTCAAAGAATACTACATACAGATAGTCCTTGACTTACAATCATTCATTTAATGATCTTTCAAAGTTACAACACTGAAAAAAGTGACTTACAACCGGTCCTCGCACTTACAACTATTGCACTGTCCCTGCGGTCACATGTTTAAAATTCAGGTTGGCAGCTGGCATGTATTTATGATGGTTGCTGTGTCCTGGGGTCACATGATCACCATTTGCGACCTTCCCAGAGGGCTTCTGACAAGCAAAGTCAATGGGGGAAGCCAGATTCGCTTAACAACCATGTGATTAGCTTAGTGACCATGGTGATTCACTTAACAACCTCAGCAAAACAGGTCATAAAATCAGGTGCAACTCACTTAATGACAGTACCGCTTAGAAATGAAGTTCCAGTCCCAATTGTGGTCATAAGTTGAGGACTACCTATAGATACAGTCATGTGAAAAAGAAAGTACACCCTCTTTGAGTTCTATGGTTTTATGTATAAGGACATAATAAAAATCATCTGGTCCTTAGGAGTTCTCAAAAATAGGTACAGTGGTACCTCGGGATACGAATTTAATCCGTTCCGTGACTCTGGACGTATCCCGAGTTGGTCGTAACCCGAAGCAAATTTCCCCATAGGGTACAGTGGTACCTCGGGATACGAATTTAATCCGTTCCGTGACTCTGGACGTATCCCGAGTTGGTCGTAACCCGAAGCAAATTTCCCCATAGGGTACAGTGGTACCTCGGGATACGAATTTAATCCGTTCCGTGACTCTGGACGTATCCCGAGTTGGTCGTAACCCGAAGCAAATTTCCCCATAGGGTTCAATGTAAATCCGGTTAATCCGTTCCGCCCTCTGAATTTGGTCGCAACCCGAGGCAATTTCCCCATAAGGTTCAATGTAAAGTACAATCCGTTCTGAAACATATGCATTTTATTTTTAGACCACAAAAAAACTTTTCTCTTCAGAGCCTTACTCCCGCCAAGCCTGCTCTGCATTTTCTTTGGAGCCATGCTAACACGCACATTTTATTTTTAGACCACAAAAAAACTTTTCTCTTCAGAGCCTTACTCCCGCCAAGCCTGCTCTGCATTTTCTTTGGAGCCATGCTAACACGCACATTTTATTTTTAGACCACAAAAAAACTTTTCTCTTCAGAGCCTTACTCCCGCCAAGCCTGCTCTGCATTTTCTTTGGAGCCATGCTAACACGCACACCAAAAACCTTCGCAAAACACCGCAAAACACACCACAAGCCTCACCGAACATCTCCTTGCTACCGCGACCTCGCCCACAGGAAGCCGCGACCGGTCTGATGGTCTGATACATAACAAACGTCAATATTACATTCTTGAATTTGATAATATAGAGTTGATGATATTAAAAAATAATTAAGCATAAAAACATTTTGGTGCACACTTGAATAAAATGTATATTCTCTTTTAATTGGGTATCTGAAACACCAAGGTTCTATTAAATTCACTTCTTCCATATAGGCCTTAATTGTTTCCCACACTAATAATTTTTTTTTTCATACCTGTGTATTTCTATCAAGCTCAGGATCCAATATTTCATTAAAATCTCCTCCTATTATCACTTTATCATAATTATTCTCATTCAAATGTTGAAAACTTTCATAAAACATATTAGAATCTAAACTAGGTTCATAAACATTAACCATAGCTATGACAATCCCTGATATTTTAGCACATGAAATCAAATAATACCCATTCGCATCAGCAACAACCTATTGTACATCAATTGGAAATCCTTTTTGAATCAAAATGGCTACACCTTTAATTATCATCGAAGAGTCTGTGAAGTAAACCTGTCCTATCTAATCCTTCATTAATAGAGATTTATCTGTTCCATTAGGTATTTCCTGCAGATAAGCAATATTTGCTGTTAACGATTTCAAATATGCTAAAATTACATTTTGTTTTGTACGTTCTCACAGCCCTTTTACATTAAGACTAACTTCATCCATTAATTTTATTTTGGCCCACTTATCAATATTCTTCCAATACCAGTTCATTTTATAACCTGTACCATTTAACCAATATCTAATAATAAACTTTTCTATGATTAAATATTTATCATATTTTCTAATATTGCTCACAGACGTAGAACTTTCATAGGAACTCAAATTAATGTTCAAATCTATACTTAAAAGGAAAAAAGAAAAACGTGATTACGTGATTACGTGCAAGAAAATAAAACACCAAACAAATAACATTATTACAAAAACTAAAGAGAATCCTAAAACAAGACAAAAAATATATATAGAAAGAAATGCTTTTGCTGTCAATGGGACAGAGCTATAGTTTCATCTCTCTTATAGATAAATATACAGAGCAGTTTCAAACTAGCCTTTAAGCTAAGAAGTTATGTGTAAAGGTAAAGACTTAAGATCACAGTATGCTCAGACTCATTAACATGAAGTTAACAAGAGTACAGAAAAAAAGTGAAAGCTTAAAGTCTATTAAATTGAGGCTCCCTCCCCCCTCTTGGGCAGACTGAAACTTCTTTCTTAACAATTGCTACAAACTGAGACATAAACAGGCTTAACTATCAACAGATTTCAATGATAGGATAAAGGCCTCTGCATTCAAAAGATTCTCAAATTTGTGAATCTGATCTTGATTAATGCAGAATACAGATGAAAAGCACATAACATATTGAAGTTATGCTGATCTAGCAAGATTTTGAGCTTTTGTGAACATCCTTCTTTTTTCAGAAACCTCTTTAGTAAAATAAGGGTAGACTTATATCTTACTTTGGCTGAAACCTCTCTTCAGTGGAGACTTTACTGATTCCTGGTGAAATATACTTAAAATCTCATCTCTTGTGGTAACATGAATAAACTGCACAATAATAATATTGGAACTAATTCCAGTCTTCCATCTTGTTAAAATAATTTTTATGACGTGTTCAATCTTGACTGGAAAGTCTGTTCCCAAAGAGAAAAGCTTTCTGAAAAAATCCTCCATAAATCCAGCCAGATTTGATTGACTTGGGAGGTTTTCAGTGCTAATCACACGTAATTTTTTTCCTGGCAATTTTGATTCTAAATAGGTAATTTGTTTACCCAGAATATTATGACTAGCTTGAGTTATAGCCTTATGAGCAGCCAATCAATCCTCATAGCAAGTCAGCTTATCTTGCATCTGTTTAAATCATTTTTAAGCTCTGCCAAATCTTGTCATATTGGCTTCAAAACATGTACTGGAGCTAGGATATCTTTTAATAAATTAGTAGAAGAATCCTCCTCTGCCATCTTTTCTGGTGGTACAGTTGGAATTCTGGTGATACAGTTGGAATTAAGGTAACTGTTGATTGTTTAGGTCTAGTTACCATGCCAGTAGCTCGTTAAAAACAAGATAATATATAATGAAAAATTTTAATTACCGAATAGTCAGTCCTATAATTCAGAAGTTTGAAAACCCTTTAATCAGGAAAGATGCGAAGATGTACCTTACAGCACCATCACAAACTGGAAATGAAGACAAGAAAAGCTTTAAAGAATATTGGAAGCTGATATCAGCCCTTCAAGGTAGATCAGGACAGGAAACAGACACTACAAGAATCACTGGAACTCTACTTTATTGTTGTAAGGTACAATAACAGAATTTATAAGCCTGGAAACAGGGTGCCAAGTTTTCTTCTGTTGATGTCTTGAGTTTCTTTCTCACTCAGTCTTTTTTTCCAGTGTTATGCTGATTTTTATTTAACTGTTCCTACATTCCTTCTTCAAGTTTATACTGTACTTCTTTACACTGGCAAAACTATTATTTGTCTGTATGTTTTTTAATATATGATGCCGAGACGACATTTTGCACTGTAAATTTTAGCAAGGGAACTCCAAGGCCCATTAAATTTACTGTCATTTCTTTCTAATAAGTATGAATAATAGCTTTCTCCAAACTGTCCTCTCAGTATACTGGGATTATAACTGTCTGAAATACATTTAGGGCACAAGGTAGAAAGAGTAATTACATTTTAATTGTAAAAGTATAATTGGTTACATTTTGACCTTGAATATTCAAAGCTGAATACTCTAAGTAGTAGTCATGGGACAAACTAAGTTAACGTAACTTTTATTTTCCTAAATTATGAATGCACATCTCTTTTTCTGGGTAAGAGGTACCTTAGGCTTTAAGCAACATTTCAAAAAGTAATGGTTGGACCAGGTAAAACTCATTCTGATTTAATTTTAATTTCATTTCATTTAAAGATAACACAAATATTCTTCAGGAAAGTATGTCATCAATATCTTCTTTTGTCACATTAAGAATTACAATACATTAACAATTTTTGGAGGACCAGGTGTTAGGTAATGTTAGGTAATCTGATCTAAATATAGTTTAGGCCTGAACTTATATGGGTTTATATGTATTTTCAGGAAACATTACTTTGAAACTCTACATAGTAGAGTTTTTGCATACACAGAGCATATCCTGAGAATATGCATTTTGATGAAGTCTGAGAAGAACTGGTAAGCTAATTTGGAGGTGCGTATTATGCTACTGGCTTTTCCAAGGAAATTTCAATCAACTAGCAGATACTTAGGGATATACATTTTATATTCATATTCCAGCATGTTATAATATAATGTCAGCATATATTCCAGCATGATAATATAATATCAGAATATAACTTAGTATGGTTGAAATTCTTTTCAAAATATTTGTTCCTTTCTTGCTTTTCAAGTTTTATTACTTATGTGGAACCCCATCCTTACTTGATATTGTTTGATTGTAATCCTTATTATAACTGCTATAATTTCTAAAAATAATCTCTGCAAAAACTATTTTTCATCATCTTGGAAAAAACTATTTGAATGGGTATTCATATCTTGGATGTTATCCTGAATTTTTAACATACTCAATTGTTAAATGTTCTTTGCTAGTTCTGGACTTACCTTCTTCTCTCTACCAGTATATTCAGGATTGCAATCAATGTAGCACATTATAAATTTCAAGTCTGGAGGAGAAATCAGAATAAGATCAAGTATATCTTTTCATAAAGCAAATTTTAGGGTTTCTTTTTATTAGAAGTCCTCGAAATCTCTAGAAGTATAAATTGAATGGAAAGGCAAGCTTTGATTCTCAGGAATGCCTGCTATGGCTGAGTAAGAGTTTACTCACTTCCCAAAGGGCAAATTTGAAAACAGCATGGTAACTGACAAAGCAGTTGCTGTGCAAAGAATGCATAATAATCCTGACTGTTCTCTTTTAAGTATAACCTGATTATACCATCCAGTAAGGGGGCTGCTATTTCCTGAGTAATGTTCATTTGCCAGTATAAGCTGAGACATTTGGACATGTGAACCAACAAATGGCTCTTGCTACAGTTTATTGTTTAAACTTCATATGTTCTCAGGAAGTGCTATAGAATCTGCAACCTGAAGCCACTGCTTTATTATCAAGACCAACCATACTGACTTTGGCATTTGCTCTCTATTTTCCTCTTTCTCCAAATACTTTTTACCTCAATGGGAAAAATGTAATGATTCATCTACCTCCCATATACAAAATCAGGGATATCCCCTATTCCATGTGCCTTGAACATTTTGAATGGAATGAGGGCTAGGAATAGATAACTTTCAATGTGCCTTCTTAAACCAGGTTGTAATGATCAAAGAAGGCAAATTTACATTCTATATCTTAACAAGAGTTTCATTAAGGATATTTGCCAAACAAAGCAAATCAAATCATACATATGTTCAACTACCGCTAGCACATAATTATATAAATGATGCAAAGCAAGTAGCTATGGCACTTATAAATGCATACAAGTTTTGGTAGGCTTCCTTTCTAATAAGTAAATTTTAGGAATTACAGATATATTATGAGGAGGATATATAGACCCATAGAAAACCTAAATCTTTGCCAAACATATGACAAATTTGAATTTGGTTTCAAAATAACAACACAGTCTAGTACTTGTCTCACTTGGCAGAAAGGTTTTGTTCATTTTTTTTTTTAATTTAGTAAAATGTCTTTTGTAAACTTTGACCTATCCCCATTCTCTACAGTTGCTTTTTGAGAAATGTAAAAAAATGCAAAGACCTTGTAAAATATTTATATACCACTTTTCATCACAAGAAGTCCAAAAGAAGTTTATTAATTGTCCAGTTCACTCCTAGTTGTCAGCAAGAAAATTGAGCAACTAAGCATGCTTCCCTCCCTGTTTTTGTTCTGAACATGGTCTGGCGGGGAGGGGAATTGTCTATTTATTGGCCAGGAAAAAGAATTTTGTAGTATTTCTGCAAAAATCTGAATGAGGTTCATGCTTCTAGGAATTTAGTTCCTCAGTACAGGGCTAGAGACATCTGGAACTATCTGGAAGGACAGAGGAAGGAATTGGGAATCTGTGGAAATGGGCTGGACAGTTGTGGCAGATGAGGATTCTGCTGCTGACTAATCCAGTATGTTTGTATAGGAATTTGTTCCAAAATTATGGGATTTGCATTGCAAATATATAGATTGTAGATAATTCCTTCCAGTCCTTTTCTGGAACTAAAGACAAACAGGGGGATATGGAAACGTTGGGATATTAATTTTTTTTCTCACACAGAGTTGCCAGGAGTGGTTTCTACAGTTGAAATGGCATGTATTGGAATGAATCCTTTCAGCTCAGAAGAGACCACCTCATTAAACAAACTAAGTACAAACATCAATGAAACAGAACCCTGTTTAAGAATCTTTGATATTCATAGCAATCTGTGAAATATACAATGCTGAAATGTGACAATGCTGGATGTGACCCTCCATTCCTTGAGCTTTTGAGGTGACAACTGTAATCAAGGGAAACCATGTGTACACCCAGAGGCTCCCCAATAGCAAATTCTCTTTCCTAAATTCCCAGGTTCCCCGGAGGCAGGGAGGGGGGATTAGTGTAGAGAGGGAGACAGGAAAAAATAAGATCCAAGTCTACATTCCTAAATTAACTTTTTCTAAAAGCTCTTTCTTACATAGTGGTGAGGTTGCATTCTTAATACGAAAATGGTCGAGATGCGAGAACAGGCAAAAAATGTCCCAGCACAAACATTCATCTCTGAGAGTGCTATTATGCAGAATGTTTTTCTGCTGGTTTGAAATCACTAAGTTTACTTCAGGGCAAGTCTTCATTGCCTCGGGTAATAGAAAAGTCCTGCTATACATGCACAAAGAAGTAAACATAGCAAGGAGAATGAAAGGGTGGCTGAAGCCTGGCGAACACGAACGAGCGAAGGCAATACTAGAAAGGTTACTCAGCGGAGAGCTGTCTGACCTGGCCGCAGGGCCTCTTTTCCAGGTGATGTAAAGCGGCGTCTCCGCCGCCTAGCCACGCCCCGCCCCGCCCCGCCCCGCCCCCAGGACAAACACAAAACAGCTTCCACCCGGCTCGAAAGAGGCGTGGCCAACGGCGGCAGGCGTGGCTCGAGAGCCGAGGAGGAGGCGGGCTAGTCAGGCAGGTTAAAAGAGGGACGGAACAGAAAGGGGGCGGAGGGTGGTCGGCGTTGCGACCGTTGGGCGCTGGAGGGCCGGCGCTGCGGGGCATTGCTAGGCTTGCGGCGGGGGAAGAGCGGCGGACACGCCTGTCTAAGCCCTCGCCCGCCTCGGGGGAGCGGCTTCAGCGCGGGAGGGGAAGAGCCAGCAGCTGCTGCTGCACTAGTGCCGCCTTGTCCAAAGAAGAGGAAGCGGGGGAGGTAATTGAACAGCGGGCGCCGCTGCCAGGGAAGAAGCTCCTTTGCCATCTCAGCTGGTCAGGCTGGGTGGGGGGAGCGCCAGGGAAGGGGCCGCCTTCTGCCAGCCAGCCAGCCAACTGCTCCGCTCTTGCAGTCAAGATCTGGGGTAGGGCTGAAGACCGCTGCGCCTTCGGTTCTGCCAAGACCGCGTCAGGAAGGAACAGGACCGAAGCGGAGCGGGAGACTTTACCTTGGGCTGTCTTGCCCCGGGTAGGGCTTTGCTACTGGCCATTCTCGGAAAACACTCTGGCCCCTGCGTCCTTTTCCTGCCCGAACGCCCGTCTGTGCAAAGCGCCGAAGGCACCGCGTCTCTGCGTGTCCTCAGCGGCGCCTGCTTCTGCGTCCTGCACACTCGCTCTTCCGCGCTTTGTCTCGCGTGCGGGTCGGTTTGTCCCTGCAACCTCCGTCCGCCGTTTGCTTCTAACGCCTTCAGTGCGAGGCGCTGGCGCGGCGTGAGGAAACCTGAACGTGGGCGTGCTGCCTCGGCTCGCCCGCGAGGCTCCCTCGCTTCCTCTCGGTTCAGCTGCAGGAGTAACGGTGGCAAAGGGGGACAGCGTCGGGACTCGGAAGGGGATCAAGCCAGTTGCGGGGCGTGTTTCAGATCTGGATCTCGCGAAGTGGAGGAAAGAGAAAGCGTGTGATTGGAGTTGGGGAGAGGGTAGTGGCTGACAACGAAGGAACTGGACTCTTGGCTCCCCTCCTGCCTCCCCTCCCGAAGTATATCGATCGGGGTAAGGCGGAACGGAGCGGTCGCTTCTGTTCGTTCGTCCGCCCGGCTTTCTCCGCTGTCGAGCGCTGTGTGCGTGTCCCCTCAGCACGGTCTCCGTTGTGCTGGCGCTGGGGGAGGAGGCAAGCAGGGGGGATGGGGACAGGGCGTGTGTCTGTGTCGAGTGGCGGGTCTGAGAAGCAGACGGGCCGCGCTTTCGGTCGCTCGAGTGAGTCCACTTTTTCCTCTGCCTCCCCCCATTTCCCCCCTTATTCTTATCCATAAGCCGAAAAGCGTTCAATGCCCAGAGCAGGAGAGCAATAGAAAAGGGTCTTGTTGCGTCCTGCCAGTTTTATCAGCTGAAATGTGAAGCCTAGCCGTGCGGGACTGGGAGACAAAGCCTGAGGACGAATGAAAAGAAAGCGTTGCTGTAGGGAGCAGTCGAACAGATGACAGAAACAGCGCGCTGCAGAGCGACAATGCGAAGGGAGCGGGAGGGGGAGCCGGACGGTAAGTTCAAACGTGGCTTGGAAGGCTCCTGTGTTTCTTAATGCTCACAGTCTTTGAACAAAGAAGGTGAAGAAAAACTGGGGGGAAGTCCTGACGTATAGGAGGGGGAGCAAGTACAAAGGGGGTTCAGATGGCAAAGTCTTAATGGGGGAGACTGAGACTTGAGGTCTGTTTTCAGAATGAGATGGGGCTCTTCATGGTTTCAAGGTCACTTGCATTCTGGATAGAAGACAGGAATGTAATTCTAGGTTGTGTCTGCAAAGCTGTAATGCTTTTCTTCTTGATGCATAGAAATAATTTCATCCCAGTGTGTGTATGTGACTAGTCCACATGCAGGGAATGGATTTTGGGGCTCCTTGTGTTCGTACATTTTACAAATGAGTGGCTCTGTTTGTTATGCATAATGAAACTCACTGTTGTATATAAGCTAACAAATGTTTGATACTTTTCTTCTCAGGCCAGGACAGAAATCGTGTGGTTTGATGGTTGCAGCTGGAACACTAGCAGAGGTTTACTAAAACACAGGATGACAAAAAAGCACTTGCTGGGAAGAAAAGTTCTGCTATTTCTACTTCACTGTGTTCATGAAGCATCATGATTTGAAGGAGTGATTTGGACAACAGAGCTTGCATGAACTTTGGCAAATTACTTACTAAATGAGGCAGATCCATACATTTGCAATATATGCTGCGTATGCTGATGGAAAAACTTTATCGTTCTGTGTTTTCAGAACTCACTATTCTGAGGAATCTAAAAACCACATATATTTTGGAATGACTGGAATTTAGAGAACAAAATTGTGGGAATTCTTCATGCATGTTATCTCAGCTTTAGATGTATTAATCTCATAGAATAACATGCAGTACTGTAAGGTGCAGCTATAGTCATGGCATCGTGCAACATTTTAAACTATGTATTATTGAGCTTTGGTATAAATATAGCTTTATCTCTAAAGTGGATGCACAGCAAAACAAGATCAGACATATTTGGATAGAAAGATGCTTCTTGCCCAAAGATGCCACTGACTATTCTGTGAAGGCATGAACAGATTAGTGGATTGCAGTCGGTCCTGTGGCATAGTTCCATGCAACGGGCACTTTGGCTTGGATTTAAGAATCTATTGTCTTCAGTGAAACCTAAAATGTGCCCCTGATTTGGACCTGTCTCAGAAGATAAAGTCGGTAAAATGGCTCAGACCAGCTTGCTGCAAGGGAAACAGTTTTATTGCAGAGAGTGGGTTTTTCACAAGCTTCAGCACTGCCTCCAGGAAAAGACAAGCTTCAGCAACAGCTCTGCCAACAAACCATCCGTTGTGCTAAATTCTGGGACTAATGCTTGTGTTGTCCCTGGCAAGGGAGCATCCTGGGGTGTATTGTTAGTAGGAGGTCCGGGTAGTGGCAAGACAGCTGTTTGTACTGAGTTATTGTGGCCAAGCTCACCTGCAAACTTACAAAGAGGTTTACATCACCAAGCACTAGCCTTCCATTTCTGTAGGGCACAGGACTCTGATACTCTCTGTGTGGGGGGGTTTATTAGAGGCTTAGTTGCCCAGATCTGTCAGAGTGGACTGATTCAGGGTTACGAGGACAAAGTGAGAGATCCTGCTGTTCAAAGTCTCCTGCAGCCTGGGGAATGTGAGAGAAACCCTGCTGAAGCATTTAAAAGGTAATAAATAAATAACACTTGAGTATGTTTCTTTCATACTGCTTGATCAAATGAGGTGCCTTCATAAAAAGAGAGAAGTTGCTTTTCACGTGGGTGGTATTTTTTGCTTGCAGGAATTGCTCAAATAGGGCATGTGGAAAAAAGTCCACACGGAAAGATAAATGTTGGGCATGGTATCCTGAGAAATTGGTGTGAATCACATTCTAGATTGGCATCTTCTGATAACTCTCTGTTGTTTGGGAATGGGAGTTTGGAGAGGAAGAAGAAACATGAAAGGTAGTTAAAGATTAGAATGTCTCCATGGTTATATTGATAGAAGTCCTTGTTTTTAAAGATAAATATCGGTTCAAAGTTTTCTCAGCAGCTTTCTGGGAACTCTACAACAGTACTGAAAACCCAAACAAAAATCTGGCAGAGGTCGTGTTGATCAAAGCATGCGCTCTAGTGTTATCTTATTGATAGTTCATTTTCAATTATAGTTTATTTTCAAGTATAATTTGAAGTTTATTCAAGCCTGCATAAGATACAAAGTGTTCGCATTGCTGCCAAAAAATCTGAAGTAACTTTCTTCAGCTACAGTGTTGAAGGATAAAAAGCTGATGGGAGTGTTTTATTCCTGAATAAAGATGCTTCTACCTAAAAACCTGAAATTCTTCCTTCAGATTATGGAAATGGAAAAACTAGCAAAGGGTGTGGGAAAAAAGTGAAGCAGTATCTTGCGCATGTGTCATTCAATAAATGCTGGTCTAAAACTTTACAAGATGTGAAGACTTAGTCTGATATATTGACTGTAAAATAAGCAAAATTGATCAGATAGATTTTAGGAACTATTTCACTGGAGTCGGATTTTCTGAACCCTGGACAATGGTATACCTGTAAAGAACTTGCACTAAAACAAGTCAATATATTATGCTGTATAAATACATAAGTAACTTCAGTGGTATGCATTCTTGATTTGAAGTACTATACTTCCTTTATGACAACCATAAAGAAATGCTGATTAGTGTCAACAGTGATGCATATTGAACCATTTGATAGTCTGACTATGTAAAGTGGGTGTTAAAAGGTTACTATAATTTACCAAATCAGAGGGGAATGTAAAGAATATAAGCCATGATGGCATTTTATCTTTTGTGAAATTTAAGATGTAAGCAAAAGAAGAAATTCTTCATAGATAGCTATGCTTTATAATTCTTTAATATTCTATATCAGAGTTAGATTATCTGGCTCCCTCCAGATGATTTATGATATAGATCCCATTAGCACTCTTCTGTATATTCACTGGTGAAGAGTTGGGAAAGTGTAGTCCAAAGCGCTTAGAAGGGGTCATGGACCTTATTTTCTGTTATACGGGAAAGTGTTAGTGATGGAGGCCTTCATCCTTATATAGTGTTTTCAGGGTATCTGGGAAATCATAGTGCTGTTCCCAGTTAGGAAAATTTCCTCTCCAAATAGAATATTTGTTCTTTTACGTTCCAAATAGGAATGCATATATAGGAACAAATAAATAGAAGAATCCTAATACTTTCATTGTTGGTGAGGACTAAATAGTGTTTCCCCCCCACCTTTAGTTAATTTCATCCATGCAGAAATTGATGGGAGTTATCCCACTCCACACCTACTTGTTCCCTTGCAAATGATTTCAGAGGACCTGGTTTGGACTGTTAAAATTTCTCATATATAGCCATTTATCTATATTAAATGCTTGTGCAGCAGTCTTCTAGACATGCATATATGGAAGTGGGGAAGTGCTAGGTGAAAGACCTACCCCAAATGGTGATGGATATCCTAAGGATATTTATAAAATACTCTATGAAATTCCTGTTTGATAGAGTGACTTTATGGTTGTCCTTTAGTATCTACTCAGTTACTCCTGCCACCTTATGTGCATAGAAGCAATCGTTTATTATTTATAGGGTAAATTATTTCCTGTTATCTGCTATTTCTTTTTGGAACCATTGTGACATCAACTTACACTCCTCTTGGAAGGGGCTAAGCTACTTTTATGATTCTATAGCACCTAACACAATAATGCTAAGAAGTACTGAATAATAAATAGTTACATGTTTCTTTGTCCTAATCCTGTTTAAGTGATATTGTGGATTAAGAAAGTGTAAGGAACTATGGTTTGCCAGCTAAAGTTCTAGTACAAGTATGGTGAGTGATGAGGGATATTGGAAGTTGCTGGCTAAACCATACAGTAGGGTTTTCATCCCTGGATTGAATAGTAAGTAGGCCATGTTAACACTGGGAAATAAATTGCAAAGTTTTTTTTTTTAATTTGTATGTTTTTTTTTTCCCCCTTCTGGTTCTGATTCCCCAAGTATAATGCCATTTTTCTGGCTTTTTCTGTCAGTATTTTAAGAAGCAGATTCTTGTCTTTTTGATAGAGGTACAGGATGCTTATAAACTTCAAAAGCAGTCATCATGGTTAGCAACAATGATAAATGATGGACAAGCGCAGCTGAGAATATCTGTGTTGGTTTCACCTAGTATTTCAGAAACTGCTTCTCTCTCCAAAACTATTTTATTATTCTC